TCAATTGCTCATGACATTGGTTTTTCCGTACGGCACTGACAATCTAGTCTAGCGTATGGAGGGAGCCTCAGTTGGTGGACAACAACCGTACTGACATCGGTTGCTTAGCCTTACGTCGCCCTTCCAAGGAACTTCAGGAAGGCGCCACGTAACAGTTGGTATTAGAGCCTAGGCTCGACATCGGACGAGGGATTACATTGCAATTACCACCATTTCTGACCATGGTGAATTATGGGGATCGCATCGCGACCCTTGAGGGAATGGTTGACGCATTACGGCCCATCGTGGAAATGGTGCCTGACCTAAAGACCAGCCTAATGCAAAGGTTGGACGACCTGGACCGCAGACTGATCCAGGCCGAAGTTGACATAGAAAACATCAGTCGCGACTCTGAAGGAGACCAGCAAACGGTAGCCACAGAGGCAGCTAAAATTTTTGGTAAATTTGAGGTCCTCCAGCAGGAACGTGCCGAGGATTTATCCAACAGGGAACAAGAGGCAGACAGGGTGACTGCCATTCAACAAACTATAGATAACTTGACAGGCCAGCTCAACGTGGTCAATGCTGCTTTACAAGGCCTACTTCGAGGAGGCGGAAACCAATTTGGGGGTGGTGTGAACCTCGCCCCTATGAAACAAAAGTTGAAAATTCCTGAGCCAAGGCCATACAGTGGAGCTCGGAATGCCAAAGAAGTGGAAAATTTCATTTTCGACATCGAGCAATACTTCGATGCTGTGGGAGGCCTAGAAGAAGCTAAGAAGGTAGCAACTGCTGCCATGTATCTTCAGGGTAATGCCAAACTCTGGTGGGGGTGAAGTACGAAGCCATCAAGGCTGGTGAAGATGCCCTCGAGATATGGGCAGAACTGAAGGCAGTCATACGCCTACAGTTCTTACCCGAAAATGTTGAGTACAATGCCAGAAGAAAGTTACGGGAGCTCCGCCAGACCAAATCAGTGCGAGATTACGTGCGGGAATTCTCTGCACTCATGCTGAACATCTGTGACATGGGGGACAAAGACAAACTCTTCACCTTCCTGGAAGGGTTGAAACCTTATGCCCGATGGAGTTGCAGAGACAAAGGGTAGACATGTTGCCTAAGGCAATCCAAGCAGCAGAGTGCCTTGGGGATTACCAAGTGGAAGCCCAGAAGGATAGGCCTTAACAGCCTGTCCGAGGAGGATACAAAGGGGGCTAGCCAAACAATGGTGGCCCTAGCAGAAGTGGAGGAGACCGGAGTGCACCCAAATCTAAGGCTCCCTCTTCAGGCAATACTAGTGCTGCATCTAACAACAATGATCGGGGGAGGAAGCCCCCCTCAGGATGCCGTCATTACGGCAGACCACATTGGAATAATGAATGCCCACATGCACAGATGAATGCCCATCAAGCTTTTGAGGATGGGACGGATGATGACGCCGATGATGCGGACCAGACCGAGCTAGTAGGTGCATTCAATGCAATTGTTGGCTCTATTTCTGAGCCCTTAACGGGAACCAGTGCCGGTATCCGCAAGAAGGACCCCTGCCCAATTGCCAGGAAAGGAAAAAAGAAGGCGAATGAGAGGACTCCTCCTCATCAAGAGAGGACCTTAATGTTCGTTGACATGAAGGTAAATGGCAAGCCCATTCGGGCAATGATAGACACGGGTGCCACCCACAACTACTTAGCCTCGACTCAGGTGGAACGCCTTGGACTAGTTGTAGGAAAGGGTAAAGGTCGTGTGAAGGCTATCAACTCACCACCTCAACCAGTGAGTGGAATAGCCAAAGAAGTACCAGTGAAGCTTGGCCCTTATGAAGGAAAGTTCAACCTGCGCGTAGTGATCATAGATTAATTTGAGTTAATAGTGGGGTTGGAATTCCTGAGACAGACCAATACCATGCCCGCACCGTATGCAGACATGTTATTGATGATGGGAGCAAATGGGGCCAAGCCCTGCATTATTCCGTGCATTCCCATGAAGATGGCAGCCGAGAACATCTCGGTCTTGCAGTTGAAGAAGGGGGTAAAAAGACATGAACCCACGTTCCTGGCTACCCTCTGCATGGAAGATATAGAACGCTCCTCGGGTCCCATTCCTGCACCCGTGAAGGAGCTGCTTCTGGAATTTGAAGACATCATGCCACAAGACATGCCAAAGAGTCTTCCGCCCAGGCGAACTGTGGACCATGAGATTGAGTTGGTGCCGGGTGCGAAGCCACCTGCCCGGGCGCCGTACAGAATGTGATAACCCGAACTCTCCGAGCTTCGGAGACAATTGACGGAAATACTAGACACAGGGATCATCGTGCCCTCCAAGTCCCCATACGGGTCCCCTATGCTATTCCAAAAGAAACATGATGGTAGTTTACGACTATGCGTGGATTACCGGGCTCTAAATAAAATCACCGTGAAAAACAAGTACCCTATTCCGCTAATGGCAGACTTGTTTGATAGACTGGGTGGTGCGACGGTATTCACCAAAATAGACCTGAGGACAGGTTATTGGCAAGTTCAGATTACAGATGGTGATGAGCACAAGACGACCCGTGTGACAAGATATGGGTCATACGACTTCCTGGTTATGCCATTTGGCTTGACTAACGCGCCAGCCACATTTTGCACCTTGATGAACCAAGTCTTCCGAGAATACATTGATGAATTCATCGTGGTTTATTTGGATGACATTGTGGTATATATCCAGACACTGGAAGAACACCTGGAGCGTTTGCGGAAGGTCCTAGCCCGATTGCGGGAGCACAAATTATATGCGAAGCTATCCAAGTGCTCCTTTGCTCAGAAACAAATTGACTTCCTCGGACATGTCATCGAGGAAGGGAGGATCAAGATGGACCAGCAGAAGATTCAGGCCATTACAGAATGGCCGCCTCCTAAGGATATACATGCCTTGAGGTCGTTCCTTGGTCTATGCAACTTCTATCGGCGTTTTGTGAAAACTTACTTCATCATTGCAGTGCCGCTGATAGAACTTCTCAAGAAGGCCACCCCGTGGGATTGGGGCCCCAAGCGGGCAGAGGCCTTCGACGCATTGAAGATGGCTATGTNGGTCCTTCGACGCATTGAAGATGGCTATGTCTAGTAGCCCAGTCTTGGCCCTACCTGACTTGGCCAAGCCATTCGAAGTGCAAACGGATGCCTCCGACTATGCACTTAGTGGAGTGTTGCTACAAGAAGGGCATCCCGTAGCGTACGAGAGCCGGAAACTAAAGGATGCAGAGCGGCGCTATGCCGCCTATGAGAAAGAATTATTGGTTGTCGTTCATTTCTTATGCCTTTGGAGACATTATCTACTGGGAGCCCCATTCGTGGTCAAGACAGACAACACAACCGTTAGCCACTTCATGACCCAACCAAAGCTGAATGGTCGACAGGCTAGGTGGCAGGAACTCCTAGCGGAATTTCACTTCAACCTGGAGTACCGAAGTGGAAAGACCAATCATGTTGCTGATGCACTCAGTCGAAGAGCTGATCTAGCATCGATTTGTGTACTCGTCGCCCTAAAGGGAAGCGAAGTAACCACCACCATAAAAGACCAGGTACAGGATCTACTCATCAAGGATCCTGCTGCACAGTATTTGGTTGATTTGGTAGGACA